GTACGGCCGGTAGTATAACCGTGAGTTTCCGTGCTTTCAATGATGAACATCATCACCATGATAACAGTGCCATTCTGGTACTGACAAAAATATTACAATGGACGTTATAATCACTGGAAAAAAGTCGCTTGGATCTAGAGGCCAGACTCTTAAAAACACTGACAAGAAAACATACTCTCGCTTCAATCGGATTTTTGCTTACATCGAGAACCAAGCCTCTTAATTTAAGCGGATTTCCTTTTGATTAAAACAAAAATCCGATTGAATCAAGAGTACTTTTTCTTGTCAATTTTTTTTCAAGAGTCTGGGCTCTAGATGCAAGCGAATTTTTTTCCCAGTGATATCACTATGCTCATCACTATAACTACTAAGATTCTCAGTACTCCTGACGAGGATTCTCGTGAAATAATAAGACGGTGATATGCTCATGTTTTCCCCTCAATAAAGCAAGCTTTTCAAACAACCACTACCATTATTCTTATTGTGTAGTGTGTGTGCACTGCCATTCAACTCAGGAGACTTTAACAGGTGGTTAGGAAAATAAGCCCGCGACACACGGCGTTTAGCAGCAGGAATAAAATAGCCCACATGAGGAGACATGGTCCCGAAAAATTTCAGAGGAAAGAGAGAAAAGTGCGGAAGAAAACTCGTATCCAGAAACATTGGAGAAACAAAGAGAGTTAAAGGGGAACGTCAGGACTCAGGAAGAACTGAGGAAGAGAGTATAAAGCAGGAGAGGCGCTGAGTGTGACCTAGACTTGGAGCAGCATCCATCATCAGAGGCCCGGTCGATCAGCTGTTGGCGGCCCTTTCAGAGGCACATGCACACCGACACGACTCGCCTCTAATTTAATTACGCGTGCGAGCTCGCGCGGCTCCGCCTCACCGCCGCACAGTGGACCCAGTTAATTAAAGAGGTCCGACATGAAATTTTTCACTAAATCTGCAAATTTTGATGTTTATTTCGTCACATCTTAACTTTCAAAGGGTGCTTCTGGAAGAAAATTTTACTGGAGAACCAATAAAACCGCTTTTAGAACTTCAAAGTCTTGTATAAACGGAGTTAAAAGCGTCTCCAAATATTGTCCGACTTCCCTTATTGATTGGATCCACTGTGCGGCGGCGGCGATTGTGCGGCATCGGTGTGATAGCGCCTCGAGAAGGCGCAACACATCAGTTGCGCCGACGCGACACGACTCATAACAGGGCTGACGAGATATCAATCAGAGATATCCCGGCAATCCGGGATATTCATTAGATCCCGTCGGCCCTAATCTGATCCGCGGATTGATTTCGCGCCGTTTTGCCACTCTCGGGAAGATCTCGGGCACTCCCAACAGAACCGTGATACCTCGATACTCCTGAAAATACACCTTCAACACAGCTACACAAGCTTTCTACACAAGCTTTCTACACAAGCTTCAGCTACACAAGCTTTCTACACGAGCTTCAGCTACACAAGCTTTCTACACAAGCCTCAGCTACACAAGCTTTCTACACAAGCTTCAGCTAAGCTTTCTACACAAGCTTCAGCTACACAAGAATCACCAGAAAAAAAGGTAGGAGTTAAGTCCCAACTTGAACCTTTTCGACCGATCGTGGGAGTACCCCAATAAATTAGGTTACTGACCCAAATGTTGCGGTGCTACCAAAATCGATTGGCAATGTCCATATCATTCAACAAATTGGGGTAGTACTACAATTTCAGGTTTAACCATTAACACTTTTGTTTCCGTGATGCAGCCATGAAATGCTGTAACTTCGATAACAATTAGAATTGCATTTGGTGAGGATTTCCGAATATCGATTCAACCATTTCCACCTGTGTGAAACTTCGCAAAAATAATACAAGCTGGAACCATTGCTCTTTTTCATTCCTTAACATTCCCCTGATTTCCTGGAAATAATTACCTAATAAGAACCCTCGGTTTTCTCTCTCTTTTGATTAAAAGCTGAAGGGGACGGAGGACTAAAATTCCTCCCAAATTGGAATAAAAAGCACCAATTTCTTTAATCTTTCGGATAAACCTGCAGCGCCGAAGTCAACAAACACCATATCAATAAATAGACAAAATAGGGTCGAGGCGGAAAGATCAGAATTACAAATTCCTCAGTTCTATTCAAGTCATAGATATTATGATCATCATTAATTTGTAACATATTGATAATATCACTTAATTAACTTGATAGCACGGTACGTAGCCAAAGTGGTAAAAAAATTGGCCAAAAATTATAATTAAAAAAATAGTTTTTAATCTAAGTTAATTCTTACACATTCTTTAGCACTTTGGCTACGTACCCACCTATCAAACGATGATTATAAGTAATGCCGGTGGCATCATCGTATTTCTCGCAAAATCCACGTAGGATTAAGTGTTTAAATCGAAATTCCGTGGAGTAGGCATGAAATCCATGCCCAAAAAGTTTGCCCAAAAAATCCAAAAAGAGTTTTTAATCAAAGTTAATTCTTACACATTTTTTTAGCACTTTGGCTACATACTCACCTATCAAACGATGATTATGAGTAATACCGGTGGCATCATCGTATTTCTCGCGAAATCCACGTGAGATTAAGTGTTTAAATCGAAATTCCGTGGAGTATGCATGAGATCCATGCCCCTGTCCATTCCTCGCCGGAGAAACTATACTCCTGGCTGGATCCATGGAGGTTTCGCGGCTGGGGCGGCGCGGCGGGAGCATGGAAGGAGTTCATCTCAACACCATGCACCGTGTAATTTAATTTGATTTCCGTTTTCCTAATCACGGGCGGCATCTGGCACGAATGGTGTGCGCTCGCACCGAGATCGCGGTGCTCTCGCGGAATTGGGAGAAGCGAGTCACGAACTCCCAACTTGCCTCGATTCCCGGCCGCGGATCTGGCGGTGGCGGCCACTGCGAGCGGCGGATTTACATACGCGGCTTTGTACGCTAACGACCCCGGCCTCGCTCGCCGGGGAAAAACGTGGTTTCCACCGAGAAAAAGGAATCGCACCTCTTACGTTGCTCGTCGAGGACCTTTCCTCCAGGCTGCCTCGAGAGCTTATGCTGGAGTACCTATATAGGGAGAGTATGGACAACTCGAAATATCGACGGTGAAACTACCAAACCACGTATCTCGGTTTGCGACGTCGCAGACTTCCTGTCATACTTCATTTTTTAAATGAAAAACTACTTAACATCCAGTATTAAAAATTTCTGTGATTTTTCCTCCTTGTGCGGAGAAAATTCCGTGAAAATTTCAAGGAATGATATTGATTTGGTCTACTTCAAAAAAATAAAATGTGAGCGTAGATTTTTAAACACTGCAAACGAGATACGTGGTTTGGTAGTTTCACCGTCGATATGTAGCTCTCAGGGCCCAAAAGGGTAGGTAACCTTCGAGAACGAAAAATGTCACTGTCAATCTTTAGACTCCAATATCAAACGAAAATGGACAAGAAAATTCATAAGTAAGCACTCTTCCGCAAAAATGAGTAAGTCTATGCAAAAACCAAGTCAAATACGTGCTTTACCAACGACAGTTCCCAACAATTGTGATTATAAAATAACTCTGTATAATTTGAATTCATCGATTGCTTACCCTTTTGGAGTGTAAGAGCTCCATCACATAACCTCACAATATTCGACATGTCCATACTCTCCCTATAATAGGTACTCTAGCTTATGCTTGTATTCCATTTTTGAAACCAGCAGCCGACTATACAGAGTGATCCTTAAGTCCCGTATTATTTTCGTAATTTTTGAACAATTTGAGAGAGATCAGGGGTGCAGAGAGTTCTCCGCCTTCACATTTTTCGAGGCAGCCCTCGCATTTTCTGAGGATGTCTTCACATTGCTGTCCACCTAAGACTTGCGCGCTTCACTATTTCCTTCGTATTAGAGAGTGTACTTCACTCTCGTTTCATAAAAGAGCGCGTTTAACTGATCAACTAAGCGTTACACAGTTTCCTACCCAAGAAGCCCCGCCCTTAGTTGGTTTATGCCATCTGCCTTCACATTTTTTCCCGTTTTTCCAGGTACTTTCGCATACATTTACCACTTTTCAGGTACCTTCACAATAGCTTGGCGATCGGCCTATCGGCTGATCGAGCACTTTCTGCACACCTGAAAGAAATTCAAATCAAAGTGTCCCCAGGACACAGGAAACGATTTTTGGGAGCCCCCAGAACTTTAAGAGGATCCCTCTGAAAAGAGGCAAGAATTCGCGGAGAGTATTGTTTTTCTTGTGAGTGGGCAATTCTAACCCGCAGCCAATGTACAATAAAAGCGTCGATATCCTAGCTAGCAGTTGATTTCAGTAGTTTTCGTTGCGCGAATCGTGTTTCACGTGAAATTCTGATGAGGAGTCATTGATATCAGAGTGCCTAAATTCGTACCTTGTTTAATGGTCCACTCAATGTAAAAAAGCGAACATAGCGAACTTACCTAACTTTTCTCGGAAAAAATATTTAATCGGGAGAAACGAGGCAAAGTTGGAATGCTCATACGGCGTCGAAACACATCATAGGACTTTTAAGCCCCATTATTCGATGCCGCGATTATTCTAACGCGAGTTGGAATAATCGCAACAAACCCAGTGAAGCCGGCGTTGAACGCATATTAGCGCCTGCAAGACTGAATGAATACTGCTCGCATTGCGCCAAACGCAGTGCAGTCGGTCAGTTGGCGTGGGCCGTATATTAGCGCCTACAAGACTGCGTGGACACTTCTCGCATTGCGCGCAGAGCACAGTGCGTGCTTTAATCGTTGTAATTTCTCAGTGTCTGGCCTATCATCTGCTCCTGCGGCCTGCGGTGCAATGGACACAGCATCCAACCAGTGTACAACGCGAGCCCGCAATCCTCGAAGGATCATGGAAATATTCCTGATTTCTGTTAACTTCCCCATCCATATATTTCGATGCTGGAACCTGATAATGTTGCCTTCCGTTCAATAAAGTGTCGATTTCTTAATATTGTGTTGGAGTTTTGTGTCTGAAACTAAGTGTTGTCATGTTTCAGGGGCGCTGACGAAGTCCCAGTTTCCAGTGTTCACAATCTACGCGCAGAAGAGCTGCTTGGGCGTGAAGCCGTGCGAGCGCGCATGGTGCTTCGACAGGGTGCAGGCGCACCGACTCAACGGCTACGTACAACGGCAGCAGACTGCAGGCTCCCGACAGGAGTGTCTCGAGCTCTGTCTCGGCGAACGGGAATTCCCTTGCAGGTAAGACTGAGTTCAATCCTTCATGGGACACACACTTCCATTTCAATCAATGCACTTCGAAAAACTTGAAAAAAAATCAAGTTTGGATTGGCTGCCGCAGATTATCATATGATTAACAAAGTTTCCTTTTTGAAAACTTCACTTCTCCAAGTTTCTCAACGAAAAATTCCTCTTGTTCCGGGTAAATATTACGGCATTGTACTGCAAAATGCAATGTTTACTCAGGGATGCAATAGTGCACACTAATTTGGAGGCAAAAAATATACAACTAGTGGGAATGGGTCAAGTGCACTGGTCACGGAATCGTGTTTTGATGCTCGATTCTTGTAGACGAGCTAAAAGTAATAAAATCTGTCCAAAAAGCAACTCTCTACATTAAATATTAACCGAAAAGTGGCGCTTTGAAAAATTCGGTTTATGACGTCATCCACCGCGGAAGAGACACCTTGCTTTCATCCGAAATTCACGTTGAGTAACCAGTGTAAATGTGTGCCTTACTAATTGATGAAAGCAAAGTGGGAGAAGTAAAGGGTGTCGCTGTCACTACCGCGGTGGATGATGTCATAAACCTAATTTTCCAAACCGGGTATCTTGGTTAATATTCAACGAAGGAAGTTACTGTTAGGACGGATCTTCTTATTTTTGGCTGAGCTCTAAGAATCGAGCGTCAAAACATGATCCTATGACCAGCGCAACTAACCCTTCACCAATGCTGCGGCTGTGGCTTGAATATTTGGATGGATGTGCCAGCAATCTGTTGAATTTTTTTGACAAAATCACAGATGAGACTCTTACTAATCTAGTTCGTACTGGACTTGGATTTTGTGTCGTCAGATAAGCGGTGGCAGTTGAGGTAGCGAAAAGTCCCAATACCACGAGACCCAATTATCCCTAAGGTGAACGCTCTTCAGCTGACATTGAATCGAACCCACCCCCTCCCGGGCGCCCCACAAAAACACAAGTCGGGAGAGATAGTAGGAACAGGCAAGGCGGTTAAATTGGACGTTACATTTCTTTCGATCCACCTGGCACGGGCATTTTATCGGGCGGCATTAATACAACATTGTTGCGTCGGGCAATTACGAGCCGATAAAGGTCATTAACTGGCAACGCTGGAATAATGAGGGGGTTAAGTAGGCATCCCGTCCAGATGAGCTTCGTTGATGTGTGCGCCGCTGCCCGACTTGGAAGTAAACGCCACCAGCTCTGCCGTGATAGCGCAGAGAGCAGTAAGTACATTTCAGTATGAGCCGTGGTTAGCACATGCTTTCATGTGTCTCGAGGTTCATCCCAGCAAGCACATACTGCTCTCTTCGCTATCGCGGCAGAGCTTCGGGAGGCGGCCGCACCACTCGGCCAACTCGGATATATAATGCCCAATACTCGGCGATTACATCAGTATGTATGAGTATATCCGCAAAGACAATAGCCAATAAAACATAGATAGCTGCAAGAGGAGGAGGACCGCGTATTGGCTAATATACTGATATCCTATAAACTCCTTGATATACACGTATGCACGGCGCACGGGGGTCTGTGTACAGAATAACAGTACTCGCTCCGGCTGCAGTAAAGAACGTTGACAACAGTTTTTTCGAGCACAGGGAATGGGTCTCATACGGGCCTCATCGCCGACACGCTACTTTGAGGGCTAGAGGACGTTCCAGGCTCATCGAGCGGCCTGGAAAAGGGAAAAATCAAAACTACTAATGAGTCACACTCCGGTTCGTCACGTCACGTAATTTGCTGTATTTCCTGATAGAGGCAAACTTCATAAAGTTAAAAAAAAACATCAATTTTCTGTATACATCTGTACGACACAGAGAAGAAGGAGTCGTTGCCCTGACAATGTGCATAGTAGATTCCAGGTCCTACCTATACTTTTCCAGGCGTGGTTGTAATTTTCGTCTTGAATTTATAGTTTATCGGGGGTGAAGATAACTTCTGTTCAGATGATCAGTTAATATTTTCAGGACATTGGAATGCTCTCGGTTTGTTTTTGGAAAATGCGATCCGTTTGGACTTTTCTTATCCTGGCCCACGATCTCCCATAAAAATTATTCACAGTAAGCTTCCTAAAATTTTCCTCGCCCAGGGTGTCTACTAAAACAGGCTGGTCAAAAGTAAGCACTTTTGACCAGCTTTTTTTTTTGAGCCACTTTTTTAAAGTACTTTTTCAGTACATTCTCAAGAAATTCAGTACCACCTCCAACAGAAAAATTCCGTACTTGTTCAGTACCTCCATTTGATGGAATTAGAAAAATACCAAACATTTGAAATTGCAACAAAAATGACAAAAAATTAAAAAAAACTCCGGACCTTTTTGCGGAATTTCCGCACGTTTTTAGTACTGCCGGACCGCCCTTAAAAAATCAGTACTGTTTCCGGACTTGTAGACACCCTATGCCGCCTCATGCAGTCACTTTTTGAGCTTAATTCGGCAATGCGGCAAGATTGAGAACTTCGCGAAAAACCAAGAGCGAATTAAGACAGCTCGCTCGATTTAATCTCGTCGCGGCTTCAAACGAAGAAATTTCGGTCACTCTGCCGGGCCGCCGTGCTAGACGTTGACCTGGCCTCAAGTCGCACACTCGGTCGGTCTGGACGATTGAACTGGTTTCGTTACCGTATCCACCGGACGGTCGGAGCTGCAAACGTGTAAACGTTTAACGGCGCTCTCGACAGGGTGCCGATAAGCATCTGACACAAGGGATCTGCAACGACGTACTTCCGGATTCTGGGCATCACAATCTGCTTAAAAACAAATTATCTCGAATATTTTGAGACTCTGATTCAGCATGTAGATCACTATGCAATAGGGAAAAACTTCGATAGAAAAGTGTTCGGAGGATGAACTCAAAGGCACCGCCGCACAATGGATCGAGTCAATTTGAGAGGTCGAACATGAAATATTTGACGAAAATTGCGAATTTTGAAGTTGATTTCGTCATATTTTAAAAGTCTATGGCTGCTACTAGAGGAAAATTTCACGAGAAAACCCATGGAACCATTTTTAAAATCTCAAAGTTTTGATTTTGCGGAGTTATAAGCTTTTAAAGTTTCCAAATTTTGTCCGACCTCTCCAATTGCCTCGATCCACTGTGCCCCCGCCGTCGCCCTCGAAATGGAAGTTAGGTCCTTTTTTATTGATACCCCCTGCAAAGATAAACAAGCGGGATTTTTTATCTACATTTTTGCCCACTTTCGCAAAAAATGACCAAAAAGTCGGCGGTTGGCATCGAGTTAGGAGTGACGTCACTTGGGGAACAGTAGCGTGGCGTGTTTTGCAATCTTTCGATTGATCTGCTATTTATTCCTATGGAAAGAGATCGATAAACAGGCTTTTGGTAGCGAACACCTTAATAATCGATTATTTACTACAGCTTCAAATGGGGAAATACCTATAATCGATCATTCACGCCAAGCCACTGTTGGGGAACCACCTTAGGGGGAAGCATGAGTGTTCGCTATTTTTAAGTTAGATACCACCTCTTTTGGCTTACTATACATAAAATCGCACCATAAATGACCATAAAATAACCACCGAACCTAACTCGACCTTATGCAAGAAATATACGAATTACCCGTATCCACAGAGAGAAAACATGACACTTAGTCAGCAGTCTTCAAGAATGTCAGGAAACACAGCGTGAAGCGTGAATCCTCAAGTTCAACCAACTTTAAAAGCACCCGTGTTTTCTCACGTTAATTTCAGAGTGATTAATATCAGAGTGCGGGCGATTCTCATGCATTATTAGACAGCGCAGAGCGCGAGAGACCAACACACGTCATCTTTGTGCAACAGCACGTGTTTTAAGTAGTCTAACCGTTTCCTATTATGCCTTGATACGGATAAACACCGTATGGACTTCCGAAGATGGTCGAATTCTTCCTGACGAAATATTAACGTTTACATAGAAGAATGAATATTTTTCTTGGAAATTTTCATAAACACTCGATCAAACTTCAAATCAATTTCTGTGAAAAATTTCAAGAAAAATATCCATTCAATCGCGGAAAAAATAGCTTTTCATTGGGAGCAAAGTGGCAGCGTCTCTTGCTCATACGGTCTTTTTCTTAAATACGCCAGAGCTGCTTTGAGCCGCGAAGAACTAGCTGCCCCCCCCCCCCCCCCCCCGATCCGACCCCACTCGTAAAAAATGGAGATGAGGCTTCATAACTGACACACGCGGAAACACTTGGGAAGATGGTGTTGATAGGGAAAAATATGCATTGATTTTGTCTCGGGAGAGCATTACTTATGCGCGAACGGAAAGAAAGCGCCATGACGCACTGCTCTGCTGCCGTGCTAAGGAAAAATGCTGTATGAACCTTCAGGCGTTGCCAAATTTCCTTTGATAAAACACGAATTTCCCGGTAAAATTAGGAATATTTTTCTTTCCATTTTTCAGATAATTTTGTACGCGATTTCACCTAAGGCTCCTGAAAATTTCAGGGGAAAATATTCATAAATTTCCTCAAAAATAAACATTTTATCGGAGGAAATTGGGCAACTCTCGAATGTATATACGACGTTCTTCCTTAGCACGGCAATGCTGTGTCTTGCGTATGTCGTGATCCGTCTTACGACGCTCTACGCACTTCGCGCATGCGCACTTGTAGCACTATGAACGAAAACCGGTCGAGTTAGCGTATGAACGCGAAAAGCCGCGAGAAAAAGCAGAGAGCTTGGAATTCAATCCTTTGCCGATGTAAGTGAGACAAAGCCATGGCAAAGTTTCAGAACTTTTGCGGACGCATGACCGTTCAACCGAGGAGACTTCAACAGGTGGTAAGAAACGCAAGCTTGCGACACAAAGAAGTTCGGTCATGTCGTTGGAAAGAACAGGCGCGGGGGGGTTTTTTGGGCAACCCAAAATGCCTTCACGATAAACACGGCGGATTTCGTTGCGCAACGAATACCTCGACTCTCCTCGAATACCTGACTGTATGTTGAGTTAATGCCAAGTGAAACAAAGACCCTTTCTTCGCGATTGTTT